CTTGACAGACCTACGACGAGATTTAAAATATGCTCCAAGACTCTCTTGGCGAGGAGTCGTACAGCGTAGAATCGTGAAAAATTACTACTTCATTTTATAAGCGCGCGCCGGCCAGCCGATTTGAAATTCCGAGTACAATCAATCAGGACGAAACGATCCGCCGGGTACTCGAACAGAAATCAAGAAACGATCATGAGGGAAGCGTTCCTTCGATAATGACGGCAAAAATGCAGGATCGCAGAGATCCAATGCAATTACCGGGTCGCTTCTGCTCGCTCTTTGTCGGATCACTTTCTTCGAAGAACCCATGGAACAGCGACCTTTGCAGAGGTCGCTCGAACAACGCTCGAGTTTCACCAGCACGCTCATCTCGCGCGCCATGGTTCACCGTTATTCTGGCTCGTTTACCGCGCGCGATCGATCCCGCCACGCGCACTTCCTTCTTCCTGTGGAGACTCCGATAGATCACGAACCGTCCTGAGAACCCACTGAGAGAACTCGACCTGCTGTTCCGTGCGAAACATCGAAAATTATTAGGTTCGCGGAAATACGAGGCCCATTCTGTTAATCAATCGGAATCTACCGTGGTAATTGGAACGCGTTGGAGAGGGGAAGGAACATTTGCAATTGGCCGTGTTTCCAACAATGCCGCGGATCCTCTCGTTAATCTCTTGTGGATACCTCCTCGTTATTACTAGACTGCGGATTTTTTTCTCCTTTTTATGGAAATTTATATTTTTACGGACACGGTTGGAGAAGCAGAGGTTAAACCGTAAAACTGTTACGAATATCTCACTTTCGACATGTTTTATAAATCTTCGCATATTGCAGATATTTTGTATAAATGCATAGATAATATTTCTATCTGGTTCTCGTTTCAGCTTGTGTTTTCAAAAGCACAGTGTTACATTATTGTTTCATGAGAATGAAACGCATAGATTAATCTAGAAAAGACTTTTGAAGAAAAATTTCAAATGTCATCGGTCGATTGCAAGGGGTTAATCTAAACAGTGACTCGCATCGATATCCAGTAAATTATTTTAGCCTGCGTTTCCATACTGTGTACTACATGCTGCTTTCATGATTACTCATCGCGCTTCTATCTACCGGTAGAACGGCGAATCGACGTAGAAAATGGCTCGTATCCTCGCGTAAATTGCGTAGAAAGTCATGATAGCAGAAGCACTAACAATTCGCTTTATAAACAGCCTTAAGAAATTTTTTCCACTCGAAAATTGCGCCCATTGCGCCAGACGTGTCTTCACTGTTCCTCTAATTTATGAACGTATACGTCTCATTCGCGAATGTCACGCGTTGAGCTCGAACAAAAAAGCTCGTTAATATTCATCGAGCATGGATCGTTCATTCAACGGAGAAATGTGACACGTGCACATGAGTTTATTGCATCTGACGTCTCCTACGAACGCGTTGCATGATTTACCGCTTTGCGATTATGCCTGTTCTCACGGTTGCGCTTACTTTGTACATCTTGTATCCCAGTTTTTTTCACTGATCCTTTTTTTCTTCCCCAAACGCGTGTCGACAGTTACTATCACTTACGGTTCTCATTTCAACTTACGGTGCATCGATAACTCGTAGTCATCAAGTATTATCAAGCAAATTACGCAAGCCCACGAGATTTGAACGTGCTCGTAACTAATAACTAGTAACTAGTAACTAATGATCGATCGAAGTATTCATCGAAAGTACGAGTCTCCTCCGCGATTCTGTCTCTCGATGAAACGTTCATTAATTGCCCGCGTGAATGCACGCAGCTTCCATAGAAATTCGTACGCAAACGCACAAGTTGCATCTTTCGAGTCGGTCAATGAGTCGGTCGATACTTACCCGAGATTGTACGGAGTCAATGGTCCGTGATTGATTAACGTGTAATCGGCAGGATAGGTGTAGATCGACCCACCGATAGAGCAGGCTGTAAAAAAAAAGAGAAGCAACGATGACCCGGGTCGCTCTCACGCGTTTGTCTCAGTTGTTCACTTCCGCTAGTGAAAGGTGCATGCACACTCACCTCGGTGTCTACGGTAAAATGCGCTTACGTATGTACACCTACGTGGATCACGGTGTGCGCATCGCGGACTAGCCAAGGTACACCTCCTCTGTCGGTAAACCGGCGATATTTGCCTGGAAAAGGCACAGCCTTTAGATCGACGCTACGTGTCACTCTGATTGAAATTCTAACGGGTGTCTGCCATCAACGGTGGCGAGCCATCGTCAGATTTCTCTAAGCGTACAGCTCGTGTCGTTTAACCTCTACAAGCGAAATCAATTTAAGCGTTCGACACGCCGCGTTAGAACACAGCGTTATTACGTTTTGCCGAGATATCGAGGCGATTTCGTTGCGATTCGAACGTTCCCTACGATTTTCTCTTCTGACGCGATGGCGCCAATAACGAGGAAATTTGAATTACGATGTCAGAAGGACAATTGACTATTGACAAAGTCGAGAAAACAATCTTCTCTCTTTGGTAAGGGAATCTGAAGATTCCTGTAATTGAAATCAGAATTTTCAGTAGCTGTAGATAATACATTGCGATCTGTGAGACACATTGATTCGCGCATCAATCCAATCGTAACGTTGCCTCAAGCTTGAAAAAAGATTCACACCGATATGCGTAATTTCGTGAAAGTGAGATCGACAGGTAATTTACTTAATTTTCTTCTCCTTCGCTGTTAGCGCTATAAAATACACAGAAGGAGATTAAAGACGAAAATTCCGCATGCGACGTTCCTTGTCTAACCTATGAATTTGTTGCATAATTGTTTACACAATTAGCCATCGTTTTTCTCGGGGACGTACCGTGTAAATCTCAGGCTCGAACGGTCGATTTTAAGGAGAGAAAGAGAAACGCGGAAAGACGAACCAAGTACCAATCCTCCAAGAGAGCCTTCTTTCCCAGTATTTTTTCTATCGATTTATATTTTACAAGAATGTATTTACTCGCGTATCGATGATCAATGTGTATTTGACATTTTCGCGAGTGTTGATTGCGCAATTCTGCGATTTTGATGGTTCGTAATTTTGAGATAACGTTCGCTCGAACGTTTCGAGCAACTATTTTTGACTTGCACACATGGCTTTCGATCAAATATCTCGAATTATTCCGATTCTATAATTATATTTTACACTTTGACCCGCGGCTACGTGATTTATGGCGGATCGTTATAACTTGTAACGTATCAAATCATTGCGATATCTTATTTTTATTAATGACTATAAAGATAATTCATGTCAGTTCAGATCTGTGTACTTCTTCAGAAATATTTAATACGAGAGTTGTTGATAATTTACTAAAAAATATTTATTGATTCAAATTCTTTCAAAAAAAAAAAAAAGAATATCTCAGATAATTTATTCATTCTTTTGGTTGCTTTTCTTTTCGGTTCGGTTCATTCTAAATTGCTCTTACACATCTTTTATCGCGTCATTCTGGATTCAAAAAGAAAGCTCCGTATAATATTTCTCTGAGAAAATGATTACCGAATTACTTCAACGATAAGACTTGAAATTTTTGCACGGTGCAGTACGACTTTAACTTCTTAATTTTCATGCTCATACAAACATCATATATAATGTTTAGGATCTTCAACGAAGATCGTTTCACCAACAATCAACAATTTGATCCGTTCAAATCCGCAATTTGTACGAAAATTTCGCAATGTCGCGCGTGGCCATTTGCCGCGTCGTTTAGATATTTCTGAAAAAGTAAACATCGCGATACTTTCCCCTGAAAACATGGGAATGAAATCGAGGAAGAGATTTGCTCAGTCGTGTCACGATACGTTTTGTAATTCTAATAGTCGGAATTTCTAAAACTATTTTATTTCGATTGATACGGTCTGCCAAGTGGAGCGGCAGCGTTCAAAGATCATGCCGATCTCTTGCGTCATTATTGGCCTAATTCCAGCCTAATTCATATTTGGCAGACGTCCCTTTCGCGGTTTGTGCAACATTGTCCATCGTCGCCGGATGAATACCAAAAGTATTTTCCAGCTGTTTTCAATTAACGATGCTTACCCGTATCTCCTTCAGTACGACTAACAAAACACGTTTGACTGAGTGTAGTTCGTTAAATAATCACTCTTGATAAATCTAGCATGTTCGTGGAAATTCTCACTGCGTTATCTGATTATATGTTGCGTTCCGAGAATTCGCCGATAAAAATATTCCAGCCAACAATAATTGTTCCATACCATCAGCACAATGCTGAGATAAAACGCGCCATAATATTTAAATACTAAACGCCGTCTGCCATTATTTTCATGCAGTTAGGGAATTATCGGAGTAATTAAGAGATCATGGGTGTTTAATCTAGTCTATAACAACGAAGACGTACAAAACAGACTTAATTTACGATTATGGAGAAATTCATTCTTTCACAAATACATACGCGAGTGGTTATACATACTTTATCTCATGAATTCACAGATATATATAGTATTATGTACACGTAATATAATTTTGCAGCTGTTATCAACTGCGAAGTGTCCATTAACTCTCTGTTAAAATTCACGTTCACTCTGACTCCAAGTGTACCAGAGTGACCGGATATACTCGTGAGCGACGATGCACCAGCGTGACCTATGATCCCATTCACAAACATCGAGTCAGCACTCGCAGTCATTATAAAACTTTATTGTTCTATCTACGCAATCAGTCGTCAGTTAATGGTGAAAAATAACAATTTTCGCATCGTGTACACAGTATATGTATATTCATAACAGAACCAACACCTATACAGTACAATAATGAGCTCAGCGACGCAGTATGACACAGTAGATGAGTACAGTAGAATCTTCGTTTATCCGCATCAGTTAGTGTTAACCCTCGGTTGTCAATTATCTCTTATCGCTCAAACAAATAACAGTGGAATATAGAATATAGAAAGCGCTATCATCCTAAACTCCTTATCGGTTTACCGAACGGATAAACAAAGTTCTACTGTAATTTTATCACGACATGTATCACCTCGTAACTCTAATCATCGTCTCGTTCGTCGTCGTCTTCGACGTCGTTTGCAATTTCCAATATTTGGCAGTGATTTGTTCTTGCATTTCTTCACCCAGCCGTTCCACGCCTTGAAGCCTTCCATGCTCTGAATCTTATTGGCGCACACGATATCGTCTTGGATGTCGTCATCTGCGAAATCCTCGCAACGCTTGTTGCATATGCCGCCGCTGTGTCCCCTGGAGCACCATTTCGCGCTGTTAATCTGGAAGACGCCGAAACTGAAGCTAGAGGCGGTCTTCGGGCCGGTGACCAACTGCGTGTCCATCCCGCTCTCGCTCTGCATCAGGCAGACCCAGTTGCTGATCAAGCTCCTCTGAACTTTGGCACGTTGCAGCTCCTGCACGGCCTCGCACTCCGTTAAGATTCTCCCCTCAGCCTGGCTGTCTATCAGAACAGCCAGAAGGGACAGGATCACGCAGATCCGCTTCATCTGTCTGTCTGTCGATGACTTGATCACAACAGACGTAGGGTTGCAGGATGCTTCGACACCGATCTACGTATGTGATTGCAACGCTACCACGATTCACGCTTAAATATCACACGACTCGCCTTACCGGTTGCCTGTCGTGCTATGCCGCCGAACGATATACAATGACCTTGTGTACGAATGATAAATTATAATTTTCTAAGCGTCACGTGGCCGGATAGAACATGCTGCGCGGTTTCGTTTTTCGTTCTACAATTCTATTATACTTTGGCGCCGTTCGTCGCGAACGGTTTGCTGTCGATAAATTTTTTCTTTTTTTTTTCTTTTTTTTTTTACGATACGTGGTATCTTTGATTCTTCCTTTTTTATATATAT